TATGTTTTATATGTTGCCATGTAGTATCCAAAATTCTATTTTGGTTAGTGTTGAGGGCAATATTTGGCCAGGCAAAGTGAGGTCTAACCCTCAACTTGATCGTATTTCTCTGCTGGTCTATAATGCAGTAACTTTTGAGCACCATAGCCAATCAATTAAAATGTCAGGGAATGTTCTAGGCATCAATGGACACAATCCTATTATTTTTTGTGCAACTCTGAACACCGGAAAAGCCCAAGTCAGAGGAATATTATGTCTCCCTGACTTTGATGCTTTGGAAGAGGAATCTCTCTGCCCTGCTGCCTACATGAGAGGTAGCAGCTTAACTTGTCATGGGGGAAGTTTCTGTGACCTGGAGTCTAGCAAAAATAAGGACTTACAGGGAGGAACCAGGGACTTAGGGGAAGAAGGCAAGAAGAGTAAGGGGTGGAGGGAAGAGAGGAGGAACAGCAGGAAGCAGAGGGATGGGAAAGTAGCTGAGGGGACAGTGGAGGTAGAAAAAGTAGGGAGCTGGAGAGAACCTGGTAGCAATAGTGGTGGGGGAAGCAAGGCCCTGGGGGAAAGGCAGGGTGCTAATGCTGAGGGGAGCAGGAACCCAGGGAGCACATGGACTTAGCAATGAGGGGAAGCAGGGAGTAGAGAGGTGATGAAGAAAGCAAGGATGGTTTGGGTGCGGGGAGATAGGGAAAGGAAAGCAAGTACGCTGCTGGGAAAATGAAGATTGGGAGAGGGAATACGGAGACCCTTGCATGAGGGACAGGAGGGAGTTGCAGGAAGGGGTCCCTTAAATAAAATGACATGGGAGAGTGACACAGGGATCTTGTGAGGGGAGGAAATAGAGGAATGCAATGAGCCCTTGGTGTGTATGCACTCAGCCTACAGAAGCAATGAAGCTTTAAACCTCCCTGTTATACCTCTCCTTCCCAGAGGGAAGAATTTCATAATCAGCTGTGTATTGTATATTGAGCACCAGATACTTACTTTCAGGTGTAAATTTGTGATTTTTCATCCCACTGTGCTTTGGTGTTCTTCATTTAGAAACCAGATTTCACTCCCAAATCCTTACCCGATACCTCTTTGCATTTTTACCCTCCCCCCAAATAGTAGTCAAATAGGAACAAAAAGTTACATGAAACCAAAGAAGAAAACCTACTCCATATTACACCTTATACTCTTGTAAGATGCAAACCTAGCAATTTATATTTCTCAAACACTTCCAATTGCTCGCTTAATTATTAAATTTATAGCCTACTGATTTATACAAATAGAGATTCTATGAAAAGACTTATTTAGCAAAAAATGATAGGGTGACAAGGGGAAAATGAAACAAGAGAAATGGTTAAAACAAGAAAGTAAAACCAAAAAATCAACACTTGTCTGCTGAAGTTAAGTTACATGTTAAGCTGTGGCCATGATTTTATTTGTGCACACAGTGGGAACTTGCACAACTAAAAAAGGTAGGGTTGCCAACTGTCTAATCACACAAACCCAAACACCCTTGATTCGCCCCTTCCCCAAGGCCCCTCCCCCCATTGCTCGCTCTCCCCAACCCTCACTCACTTTCACCAGGCTGGGGCAGGAGTGCAAGAGGGGGTGCAGGCTCTGGGCTGGGGCAGAGGAGTTCAGAGTGTGGGAGGGGGCTCCGGGCTGAGCCTGGGGCAGGGGGGTGGGGCAGAGAAAGGGGTGCAAACTCTGGGAATTTGGGTGCTGGAGGGGGCTCAGGGCTGGGGGTGGGGTGCAGGAGGGGGTGGGGGTGTGGGCTCTGGAAGGGGGCTCAGGGTTGGGGAAGGGGGTGTGTGGTGCGGGATAGTGAGAGTGGTGCGGGCTCTGGCTGGGCGGCGCTTACCTTGGTCAGCTCCCGGTCAGTGGCAGACTCCCTACCTACCCTGGTCCCGCACGGCTCCCAGAAGCGGCCAGCATGTCCAGCCCCTGGAGGGGAAGGGGCAGGCGGTTCCACGCGCTGCCCCTGCCTGCAGGCACCGCTCCCACAGCTCCCACTGGCCACAGTTACTGGCCAATGGGAACTGCGGAGTCAGCACTCAGGGCAGTGTGCAGAGCCCCCTGCCCCCTCTCCCCCCTGGGCAGCAGGGATGTGCCAGCCACTTCCAGGAGCTGCGCAGAGCCTGGGCAGGTAGGGAGCCTGCCTTAGCCCTGCTGCATCACCAGACGTTTAGTGGCCTAAAATCTTCCCATTTGGCTTCAGTAGCCTCTGGGAGATAGAGCCTGATTCCAGGAGACTTCTGGCAAAACCAGGAGAGTTGTCAACCCTTTAAAAAAAAAAAAGTAGTGTGTGTGTGTGTAATTATGGAACAGCTGTTGCAGTTTTCATTAAACTACAACAGCAGTTTTAGAGAATCCATTTGCTTCTACCCACCTTCATTTCTCCCACATTTAAGAGCAATAATTTATGGCATTCATCTTGTTTACCTGGGTACTGTATACAAGTTCTCTATTAATCTTGAATTAAGTAGCTGCAACTAAAATTGCTCACTTTACTGTTGAAAGTAGTTCTTATTCATTCAGGACCTATTATGTATATGAAGCAGCCTTTGTGCCAATAGCATATAAACACTTGAGGAGGTTTCATGAAAAGAAACACATATTTTTAAAAATCCAGACTAGTAAAATTTCAGGACTTCTGGTATGCTCATCCAGCTCTTCAAAAACTGCACAGGGGATATATTTATTTCTAAATTGCATAATTGGAATTTTAAAGAATTTCATGGGAAGGTTTGCTGTTGGTTTTAATCTGGGTTTTTACAGATCAAACATTTTACTGCTTTACTTTGCCGGGATGACTGAACTTGGTGGCGGGGGGAAGTAGTAAGCAAGAATTCTAAGATATTTGTCTGTTCTTAGGTAAATAAGGCAAGAGTTATATGCTTGCTTGAAAATTTTATTGACACAACCGTTTGGTCCCAACACACAAAACAGCACTTGAGCCACAAAAGAAAGTGTCTAACAAAATAGACAGCTATGAAAAACATTTTTCTTCCTCCTCCCACCCCGAGAAGATATAGTGCACATAAGTTGAGGGCTTCAATGACACTTTTTTTTTTTTATTAAACAGACATGAATCTAAATTAGTACAATTAATTTGTAAATTAAAGAATATCATGGTCCTAATTGGTTTGAATCAGTAAGTCACATCATTCAATTAACCTCTGGATAAAAAAATATATTGCAATTCAATTGGCTATTTTGTTACTCTATGAACACAACTTCCCCAAAATGTATTCTATTACTTTCAAACAGCAATTTAATCAGAATTATACATGAATCAAAATAGATATATATATATATATGCTGACCTCCATAAATGGTATAACCACCACATTCACATAAACATAGTACAGAGTTGTACCTCAATTTTTCTTCTATAGCATCAATCATTTGGTTTACTTAGCACTCTGGATGATTTGTAATTGCATCTCATGAAAATATAGTTTTACAATTTTTTGCACACACTACTGAAACAAAGATTTAAATGATCACTGTTAACCTTACAAAATCCATGTAAGGTGATAGCAGATGTATTACATTTAACTCATGAAATTATTAAAAGCATTCTAAAAAAATTTACATTCTGTTTTTGCTTTCTATAACACTATGTCTGTAGAGGTTTAATAAGGACTCAAACACTGTGCCATAATGCTCAGAAAAACTTCCAAGTGTTTCCCTGTATTCATAATGGCTGTAAGTTTAGTATTGGTAATACTTGGCTATATTTAAAAGATTTTTTAACAAAATCTGACTTGTAAAATTCTGTCTATAGCCATTATTTCGTGGCATTTTCAACTGCTGGCTATGAAATCTGAGCCCACTTTTCATCTCTCTTGTACATTACAAAATATAATCCATCTAAAAAAGAAACCATTCAATCAGTGGAAAACCTTAGGTATACGTTCTTTCAATTTTACAGGAAATTTAGTCTGCCTGGCAAATACAACCCATTGTAAATGCCAAGTTTACCCAAAATGGGTATAAAGCCTCACTCACAGGACATTTCAGCCAACTAGAAATAAGGTCATTCCCACTGGTTTACCTCCGTTCCAAAGGCTGGCCTTTCCAAAAGCCAACACAAAATACCACAAAAAAACTGAAAAAAAGCTTCCAACACTAGAAGTAAATATTAGAATAAAAACAGACACAGTTAAAAGACAATGCGACGAAGAGTAAGCTTCCCATTTACCAAACATGCTTAAAAAATAGAAACAAGGTTAAGCAGAATAACCTTGGCATTTCCACATACAGCTAGAACTTTCCTTGCAAGTGGAAATAGCATCAATACCTTCCATCTTATAGCACTTTACATCACCTGCTCTATGATTCATAATTTATGCATTAAATGCATATTTTAGAAATATTGGAATCTTCCTAGTAACCTCATTTCCAGACACAATAGAGTGTCTTCATTTTACTTTAAACTCATGACACCAAGACAATCTTTTTTCCTTAACCCAATCCATGTCAAACTGGAACTAAACATAAAAGGGAAGCTTAAAACATCCTCAACTTCCTAGAAAGCTCCTCAACGGAACTGAAAGTTTCACAAAACATTTAAAACAAATTTTGCAAGAAATCCACATAATCTTCTACAGACATCTTTACGTGAAAGGAATTACAATGCAATTACAAATCACCAGAAGTTGCACATAACACAAGCTTCCCCTCAGTACAATCAAAAACCCACCACACTTTGTCATTCCAATCCAGTAACGGTTAAAATTCCTCACCAGGCTTTTAAAGACAGATCATGCATTTTATTAATACTGTCTGAAACAATCAGTAAGCAACAGCCTATAGAATATATTATGCTACATGTAGGATTACACCACCGATGAGGCTTAAAGAAAATAAAATCCATTCCACTTTAGTTGAGCATATTTTGCTGTAACTGAACACCATTGATTTAGTGGGGGGGGGGGGGGGGGGGAGGGAGGGGGGAATAAAACGTTGTTAAGAATAATTTAA